TTGAACAAACCATCACTTTGTTGATTAATGAGACACTTCTACTCTCTGCTCTGTCCTCTCCCTTAAAATCAGGGGCTAATATGTTTCACTTTTCTTTTTCCCTTCCCTCCCTTTCTCCTCCCCTCCCTCTCTCCTCCCCTCCCTCTCGCCTTGATGTGCTGTAAACAAGATGAAAGAGGCCAGCTGTGTGGAGTTATTGTTGCTGTCAGTATGAAGCGCTGATAGCCCTGCAGCAGAACAAAAGCTGGATGGGCGCTCTGAGGGCCAGCTCCAGACTCAGTGGCTCCAGTCGAGATTCTCTCCCACAGGCTGGACTCTGCAGTCTCATTGTTTCAGGCCGGGACACCCCCCTCACCCTCCTCCCTCTCTCTCTCTCTCTCGCTCGCTTGCTCGCTCACCCACATCCACCGCTACCATGACCTGAAACAGCACACTCTCAGCCTGAGGATGTCACCCAAAAGAGGGAGACCCTGAGTACCCTCAGATTCAGGTGGTGGGGGCCGGTGACTGTGCACTAGTTTAGTATGGAAATTCCTCCACTGTTTATGCACTTAATGCATCATTCATAACATTTTTAAAATGCAGTGAATTAATGACTGATTAAAAGTTACAGGGTTATATTGATAATTTGGCTAGAAAAGTTTTCTTCTTTAGTTCTGCTCTGTTATATTTTACATATTTTATACAGGGCTGTAATAGTTCATGTAAAGAGTTGTAAAGTAAAAAATGTCATTATACAGTCATATGCAAAAGTTTAGGCACCCTGGTAAAAAACTTTTCTTGATTTTCTAAGTGAAAATAAGTGAACATCTCCTCTACAGACAATACACTTCTGCACATTTAAATGCACAACTATTGTTTATTTATTGAACTGAACATTAAAGCAAAAAAAAATACAACCTAAATTGTGGCCTGTGCAAAAGTTATGGCACATTTCATAATGAGTTTTTTTAAATAATAAACTTAGCAAATAAATAGAAATTGTGCACTAAAATTTGCTGAAAATGGCATATTTAAGTTTGTTCTCTGCAGATGATGTGAACTTATTTTCATGTAGACAATCAACAAAACATGTAATTTGACCGGTGTTGTTTAAGCTTTTGCATACTTCTGTTTATTTTTAAAGATAACAGAATGTCATAGTGTCAGAAACCACATAAGCAAATCTATTTGATACTGTTTAACAACTCAACGCAGCTTAAAGGGTAAAAAATTCTGAACAGTTAAATGGCTCAAATCTAAATAAAGTCATTCAGTGTTTTGATGTGAAATGCTCAGTTCCAGAGAAACTTGAAGCTGAGTCAGAATTGTTTACTTTGGTGATGATATGAACCAGACTTCCAAAGAGTTTTATGCTATTAAAAGCTCTCTCACTGAAAGTTATTCCATGAAATGGTTATGAATTCGCTGCCTGATGCTGAGACATTGTTTTACGATGGCTTTATGATAAGGTTTTGGTCTAAAACCTTATGAATGTAGAGAGGTACATGCAGGGTGTTGTGAGGCAAAATAATCCCAAAAGAAAAGTTATTTTACTTAAAAGGTATAAAAATTTAAAGTGTTTTTTTATTCTGATCATTGTTTTAAAGACTTTGAAAGTTTTATGCTGGAACACTTGGGTGTTGACAAAAATGTTATTGTTATTGGTATTTGAATATATAGTGCAAAATATGGTGAGTATATATTTTTATATGTTAATCATCTATATTGTTTTATATTAATATTTATAGGTCTGATAAAATGACTTGTCATATTTATCATTACATCTTGAATGTGAAGTATACAGTTGCTTTTTATTTACAGTATGCAGCATTTACAGTTAAAAATGTGCAATAAATGAAATAAAGTGCAAGTACATTAAAGGGAAATTCCACCAATTTTTCTAAACTTTTGCAGAGTCCAATGTAAACATAATCATTCAAAATAGTTTTGGTGTGAAATGATTCGTTCTAGAGAAACAGCATTAGTCAGAATTATTCACAGCCGTTCTGATAGGAACCAGACATCTGAAGAGTTTAATGCCTCTAAAAGCTCCTTCACATAAAGTTATTACATGAAATTATTATGAATATGCAGCCTGATGTCTGAGACATTGTTATGATTGCTTTGTGAAAATCTTTTGGCTTAAAACATATATATATATATTTTTAATGCATGGTGGAGGGATACATGCAGGCGATTGACGCACAATAGATATACAATATAATAATACATTTACATATACATATATGAATGCATATAAAAACTCAGAAGACACATGTAGGTGCACTGGTGGTTTTGGATACTAAATAAAATGGTTGTGTTGTAGACATTGTGACCCCTGGTTCCTATCACCACCACTGTAAAGAAATGTGAATCAGTACGTTTCTCTACAATGAACCACTTCACATCAAACCTCTGTGAATGACTATGTTAAGATCTTAAAGACTGAATTGGTCAGAAATTTGGAAAAAGTGGTGGAATTCCCCTTTAATAAAACAGCCAGCATTCTGCAAAAGTGAGTCCATATAAAGTACTGAGTGGAGGAATTTGCCTTGAGAATGAGGCCACGGGGCTCGAGCACTATCGCTCTCATTCACAGCCTCCTCCCTCCTTCCCTCCTCCTCCTCCTCCTTCCTCCTTTTTCTCCCTCTGTTCTTTTCTCTCGCCGCTCTTTGGAAGTCGATCGAGCACAGTGAGCCACAATGGCACTTTTTCGCAGGTGTGCGGGCCACTAATCTCCTCGCTTTAGCGTGATAAATGAACGAAGAGCTTGTTTGTGTGCGTGTGTGTGTGTGTGTATTTATTGCTTTGTGGGGACCAGATGTCTGCAGGAGGAGTGGAGAAACCTGAACACGGCGACATTGTGGGGACTTTGTCTGCTCTCGCGAGAGAAAAAATGAGGGAGTTTTTTTAAAAAAAACTACAGCTTTAAAACGAAAAGGTAAAAAAAAGTTAAAGAAAAATTGTGTGAATTTCGCGCGCGCACGTGTTTGAGTGTATGTGTGTGTGTGTGTGTGTGTTCTCTGCAGGTGGAGCGAGCGCTAACTCCGTTGTTTGCGGTCTCCATAGTTACCGCCCGCGCGGCGCCAGGCTGACAGGCGTCACGGGGTTCTATGAATGGGTGACGTCACGGCGCTGGCGCCTGCCAGTCTGCTTCGGCTTGTTTGGACAATCTGGGGAAGATTTCACACACACACACACACACACACACACACACACACACACACACACACACACATATGCAGCGCAGAACACACAGTGGGAACATCATGTGAAAGAATCTGTAAGTCTATTCAGTGTGCTTTATTCAAAAGCAGGAGGAGGAGGAGGAGGGGGGTAAAATATGTGATTTGTTTTACTGAAAGCCATGCAAAAGGCTACATGCTCTGGAATTTAGCCCAAGCTGTCACAGGCTGCACAGCAGATGTGCACCATAACCTGAGATTAATGCTAAAGCATGACTGCGACTGTGATCACTTTAATTAAGACTTCATGACCCACAGGAACCTATGCCAACACTGAAGTGAATGTATTTTTTTAGATTGATAGATTTCTTTGACATTTATATCACATACGTATAAGACTACATTTGATACAGAGCTTGCAAACATTTCAAATTATTAAGAATAAAAACACAATAAAGCCCATTAGGCTTATTTCCATTGTGGCTCTTTAATGCAATAGAACAAAACACTTAATAACTTCAATCAACTAAAAACTTGCTACCAAAAGCTAAGGCATCTGCTTCTCCAGCATTTCCCCCTAACCACAGAACTGCAGTCAAACTTTTTAGTTTGTCCAGCATCTAGTAGCATATCAGGAGCCATTCTTTTTTGGGGGGAAACTTTTAGTTAAAAATAAAATACTAAAGTTTAAAAATAAAAGATGTGAGCCACAGCAAAAGAGCCCAAGAGCTGACCAAGCTCTACACAATGAAATAAAGAGAATTAACAACTAAATGGGCTGAAATAAGTGAGGAATAATAATAAAGTGCAAATGCATGAAAAAATGTGCTCATAACTGACTGAATTTAACTGCGCAGATCTGACTATAGACTGATGAGTGAAACATTAGACTCATATTGAAGAAGCATTATCCCTGTGGGAATAGCATGTTGGTGAAACGACTGATTAAATAATTAGATAAATCAGTCTAAAAGCACGCTGCTGAAGCTGAATATTTACCATACAAGACCAGTGCAGGCTACACATCTGCTGTCACTGCATTAGCCCATATTCTTATTCCGAAGCTTGATCTCACTGTTTCCAATAATAAAAGCGTAGAAAGTGAATCCTAGCAGGGCGGCCCAACAGCTTCTATTGCAGCTTGTTTCTTTTTAAGCTGTCAAGAGAAGCTCGCAATAGTTATGCTGCTGTAAAGACACTAATTAAAAGCCTATTCATCCAGAGTAATTGCAGCATTCTTTATAACACACCCGTGGGCCATCACTACACCTGCGGAGTCCCCGGGCGGCGGGCAGCTGGATTCCCACACTGAAGCAAGGGAAACACACACACACACACACACACACACACACACATTAGTATGCATTGCTGCCTTTGTGGGGTATTTCTACTCATTCTGTATGATTGTAGCTTAATAGTACCATGGTAAATCATTTTCCTTTTTCAAATTAAGTTTTATTTATGTATTTATTTATTTACACATTCATTTATTGCATGGGAATCAGCTAAAAGTCCCCAGAATGTTCAAAACGTTCATGCTTCCCATTATCCTGGGGCCCTTCGGTCCCCACGAAGAGCTAAAAACCTACTCTAACAGACACACACACATTTGTTTCCACTTTCTACCACCGTCCCTCCCTGATTGTAAAGCCTGATAGGCTAGAAACCGCCCCCCCTCCCCCCCAGCGCTTCCTCATTGGCGGACAGCCGGCCCTATTCCCAGAGGGCTCGATTCTGATTGGCTCTCGGCCTTTCGAATTTTCCCCGCGTCACGCCCCGCCCACACGCTCCACACCAAAATAAAGGGACGCTCTCGCGCTGCAGCTACTCACTCACGCAGTCCGCTACCGCTGGAAGAATCGCTTTAGGAGCCGCTGCTGCGCGCTTATCTTTCGTACTTCGAGGCAAAAATGAAAGTGGTCGGAGCCACGTGCGCACTGAAGAGCAAGGTTGGTCTGTCCGAGCAGAGCCTGGCCATTTCCAAGTGCAAGCTGCCTCTGCTGGACGAGCAGATGAGCGCCTTTCTGCAGGACATGAACAGCTGCTACAGCAAGCTGAAGGAGCTGGTGCCCACGCTGCCCGCCAACAAGAAGCACAGCAAGGTGGAGATCCTGCAGCACGTTATCGACTACATCTGGGATCTGCAGGTGGAGCTGGACGGCCCTGGTGGTCACCGGCAGCCGGGGACAGCAGGGACACGCACTCCCCTCACCACCCTGAACGCCGAGCTTAGCAGCATCTCTGTGGAGGTAAGCTTGGGTGCTTATAGCGATGCATCAGTGATAACAGAAAAGGACCATGAGTGCCACAAAAACCTATGCTGGATGACTGATGCTGTGGGGGGTGGGGGGCAAAAACCTGACACAGGGGTACATAGGTGGCAAACAAAACAAATGCATTAACAGAACTTTTGCCACAGGGGCCAAAAACTTATGTTAGGGATACAATGGTGATACGAATGTTATAAGGTGCTAAAGCTTACTAAAAAGACATTTTATGATGGTGGCCATGGTTGCCAAATTGGCTATGGGTGCCAAAACTTATGATTGGACCAGCAATTTGCCTGCTGTATATGCTTTATGTCCTTTCAGCAGCATCATTGCACTTTGTTCCCATTCAAATTTATTGGCTGTTTTCATCCAGCATTGGGTTTTTCTATCTGTGTTTGTATTTGAGGCTTTTAAAATCAGAGTCCAATGAATTTTGTGTCTGACGTTTTGTTTTTATGTCTTTCTCCAGAACGGTTGCTCGGACGACAGGATTCTGTGCCGCTGAGGTTGAGAAGGTCGCCAGTAAATTGACCTGATTGACGTATTCAGCCGGTGCTGTTCCAGCAGAGGATGCAAAGAGAACCAGCCAGCGTCCGTGCAGCGCCGTCGCGCACTACGCACCAAAAAACAAAAAAACTGGGACTGCTTCTTTGCCTGAAGTGTCAGAGTCGGCGAGTAGAGCTCCACGGCGTGTGTGTAATGTGTGGTTTAGTTCCACCAGTTTGCCCTGGAGTCCGTGACTGAGCTTCATAAGTAAATATGTTGTCTGTATTAGATGTCATTGAAAAAAAAAAAAAAGACCATGCCTTAAATCAGGGGAGACCAGTGCTGGACCTGGATGGCCACAGTCCTGCTAACTTTGGTGATCTGCTCTGATACTTTCTAAGCTCCGTAGTTCAACTACTGAGTCAAACCTAATGTGTCTGAGCAGCGAATCCCCAAAATCGTGCCGGACTCCGGTCACCCGAGACCGGCGCTGGACACTCCTGCCTTATACGTTCCTGTTCTCTTTTGTATTTTGTAAAATGTACACATAGAGAAACTTATATTTTGTACAAAAAAAGAAAGAATGAAAGAAAAAATCCAGCTTCTCAGATTTCTGAGCTATATTTGTATTGTATATTACAATGCCTTATGATGTCATCGTATTGTTTTATTACAATGTATCTGAATTGTGTTTTTATTAATACAGATAGTATTTTGGAAAAAAAGTGTTTTTTTTTGTATCATTTTCTTTCTGAGTCTGCTAAAGTTGACCATGGTTTACTTGCCTTTCTTAAGGTTTAATGAATCAGTGGATATGTGGTTTGGGCAGAAAGAAATTAATAGGCCAAAACATTGTTTCTTCACAATTTTTCAATTTGTCTTATAGCTGAACTCAACGGAATGATATTGCATTACATAAACAAATCATAAAACAAGTTCAGGAAACATGACCAAATGTTAGGATGTCAAAGAGAATAAAATTCTGCAATATTAGACCTGCAGACGTAATAATAATATAATGAAACAGAAAGTAGAATCTGTTGCTTGCAAATATACTTGAGCAAAAACGATGCATAAGCACAAGGCATAAATTGCCAACAAAAGGAGTAGCGTAAAGCAAAAGCCTTAGATTAATGAATAACACTTTACTGCATAATTGACATACACCTATAAAGGCTCACAATAAGTGTCATGTGCCATAAAAGGCTGTGTTTGTCCATTATGAGGCTGTTTCACCTAATGAAGGTTGTTGGAAAAAGTCTTTTATAAATGTCTATATAGATTTATGTAATCTGTCAAAATTGGGCTTTATAGCCTTATCAATGCTGAGTAAAGTTGGCAAATAATGGAAGGCTATGCAAGACCTCATATCAGTTTTATTTGCTCTGCATACAAGCTACTGAAAAATACAGATCATTATTTAAACACGTCATCTGAAACCATGTAAATAGTCCAATTCCTGCTTTAATTCCTACATGGTCAGTGCAGCTGAAGGCCCGAGGGAAATAATATGAATATAGCACATCATCTATCTGCACATGACACACAAGTGTTTCGATTAGCCTGTGTATAAAAATGTATGCACTGGAACTAAGCTGAGAGAGAGAGAGAGCAGTGATCAGCACCACACACACACCACAGTCCAGTGAGCCGTTTTTTTTTCCCCCTTGGCTGCGGTCCCGGCCCATCTGCAGCTTGGCTCACGGATTACTGTTTGTTAATGTTTCAATCAGCTGTGCGCCGAGGAATGTGGAGCTATTTAACCTGAACTTCCCCAGGTGTGCGCCGGCGCCACTCAGTCTGGGCCCGCCTGCCCTTCCCTGCCCTTGGCACAATGCTATCACACAAACACACTCACACACACAAATCCGACTCTCCCCCAGCTGTGTGTGTGCAGCGTGCTGACAGGAGGGAGGGAGGTGGGGGGGTTGGAACAACACTGCATTAGGAGGGGGAAGAGAAACTGAACTGCTGTAATTTATGGGGAGTGAAATTAACCTCGCTGTTGCCGAAATGTGTTTGCTTGTAAAAGATTTTCAAGCTCATCTGTCTAGCTGAAATGTTGAGATTTAAAAGGGCCTAGGGCTGCCTACAAAACGCATTGTTGTATTAATACTAGCCTAACATATGCCATAAATGAAGCATTTAACCATAACACATGGCACCTTTTTTAAAAATAATTTTACATCTTAAAGGAGAATTCCACCAATTTTTCAAAATTTTGCAGTAATGCAATTGTGTGTAAACAAATGTGCAATGTGCAAACAAAGTCATTTAGAGTCTTTTGATGTGAGATGCTTCATTATAGAGCGAGAGTTGTTCTTAGTGGTGGTGATGGGAGCCAGCAACTGAAGAGTTTAATGCCTCTTGAAGCTCCCTTGCAGAAAACTAATGAAATGGTTCGAATATGCTGTATGATGTCTGGGACAGTGTTTGATTACAGTTTTGAGCGTTTGAGATAGTGTTAAACTTTTGGGCTAAAATGTATTTTTGTAAGTCATTGTTGGTGAGAGAAGGCAGAAAAGTACCAAATGGAAACTTATTTTCTAGATTTACCACAATTTTATCATCATTAACATTGCATATAAAACTGGATGGTAAATAAAGTGACTATGACATTTACTTGCATTTAGATATTAAGATTCCTGGCTCCTTTCACCACCACTCTAAAGAATATCTCAGTAAGTTTCTCTTGTGCGGAGTGTTTTACATCAAACCACTCCAAATGACTTTGTTTACATTTTAACCATGCAATTATACAGAAAATTTTAAAATTTGCTGGATTTCCCCTTAAGCAGTTACTAGCACTTCTTACACAGTTCAGTTAAAGGGGAATTCCACCAAATTTTCAAAATTGATGCACAGTTAAAAATCATTCATAGTGGTTTGGGGTGAAAGCTCCATTCTAGAGAAACTTACAGAGTCAGAATTGTTCACAGTGGTGATAGATCTCTTGCATCTGTTTAATACCTCTTAACTGGGGGGGCTCACTCTTTTTGTCTTAGGGGCAAAAGGGGGTTGTAAGGCATAAAAGTCCCCAAAACAGTACCCACTATCAACATTACTTATATAAAGAAGGTACATGTAGGTTCACTGGTGGTTTTAAATAGTAAATAAAATGTTTGGGTTAAATGTATCATGACCACTGGTTCCTATCACCACCACTGTAAAGAAATTTGTACTTCACCTTTAAGAATGGCTTAACTGAATAGTCTAGGATCTGTTCGAAACATACAGCCTAATCAGCAGTCATGGACAACTAAAACAGATTGATTAGAGGTAAATATTAATGCAGACAGCTTGTTGAGGAACAAAAAAATAGGAATTAGATTTTTTTTTCACTCTCTTTGTAGACCATAGTGTACTTATTTTCCTGAGAAGGCCATGGCTAACTTAAACAAACTGATTAGAGGCAGATAAAACCCTAGGCAGAGAAATTTAACTACATATATGAAAATATAAAAATCAAGATATTTTACACACTTTGTTTCATTAGTCTAATCTTGATTGCTTGCAAATGTCAACAAGAGTCCAGTGTAAACTGACCATACTTCACAACCTAAGTATTACACTGCCACCCAGTGTCCATACGTGGAGTAGACACTGTTTTTTTTTTAACAAAGATTTTATAAAGGAGAAAATAAAAAACTAGTATGAGAGAACCAAAACCAATAAAAATATTGAATTTAAAAAATAACATAAAAAATGAAATATTGAACATTACATACATATATATATATATATATATATATATATATATATATATATATATATATATATATATATATATATTAATCTAATACAAATATTGTAATAGAAATAAATAACATTTTAATAAACATTAAACAACAAATTGGAGTTGTAGTAAAGTATAAAAAAGTCAAAGACAAAAAGGTAAGATCTAGTAAAAGGAAGAAAAAAGAGTTTACCAAGCAGCGTGTAGAGTTAATTTTACTTCAACCTGTTTTCCGACAAGCACCGCCCTACTGAGCTGTGATTGGCTTGGCGGAATATCAGTAGCCAATCACAATGGGACGTGTCGGAATGCGGGTGTGAACAAATAACGCGGGACTTGTCGGAAAAAGGTGGGATAAAATAAAACCATGTCACAGTTCCACCAATCAGATGAGTCCATTGGTAGCACGTGACTGGGGAGACGACAACTGCAGCGTGTGCTTTCGTTTTAAAAGCAAAATATGCGATTATATTGTCTTATTTGTCTGTTATATTAGCACTAATTACGAGTAATGATAATTTTCACGGTCTTCTACTAAAAGTGAGACGCTCCGCTCCTTTAATCGACGTTAAGCGTCTACATTTGATAAGATTAGCTTGTTAGCTGCCACTCTGTTGTACTGTAACGTCAACTGAACAGGATGAGCTAACTTACCGTTCATTTCACAAACTCTGGATTTTAAAAAATCTGAATAAAGATGTCTCAGAGGAAGAGAGTCGCGGCTGTGGGCTCCCAGAACAAAAATTTAAGGGTAAGGACGATAGAAGGCTTTCTTCTTCTAAGTCTAAAGTTGGCTTATTATTCGAATTTCCCGTTCCACCTTAAATGATGCTAGTTACATTGTGGCGACTGAGGCGCTAAATCGTTATTGCAGCACCATTTAAGGTGGAACGGTGAGTTCGAACAAGAAGCCAACCTCAGCTTCGTTTTCTTTGGTTTTAGTTTGCTAGCTGTTGCATAAGTACTTTACTATGACTGTAAAGTTAGCTCACATTATTGATATGCATTTTACATCAAGGGCTGATTTTCATCCACGTCATACATCACAGGTCCATATAGAACCATTTCATGCTTTAATGATTTTTTGCATTGTGAAATGTTCTTCATTTTAATGGTTAGTGTGTTGTAGATGGTTCTATATAGAACTTATTTGAAAATGGTTCTATATAGCACCAAACAAGGGTTCTTCTATTGTTACAAGCTGGACATCGTAACAGATGTCAAGAATAGCAGAACCAATTTAGTGCTATATAGAATAATTTTCCAAGGGTTCTATGTAAAACTATATACAACACATTGTCCATCAATCTGAAGAACAATGTCACCATGCAAAGAACGATTTAAGCTTGTAATTATTAAAATATAGCTTTATTGCCCACCTCTATGTTAAAGTAAAGAAAAAGAGTTGCTGCTATACTTAAGAACACTTGCTGTTCTGTGTCATTTTGGACCTTCACAGCGGTCACAGCAGGTTGTCCTGGATGAGGATGATGACGTTGACATGTCCTTAACGCAGCCAACTTCATCACAGGTCCAAAAGGCCAGGGAGAACTTCACACCTGTTCAGGTGGATCGTAAGGTGATTCAAGTTCATTAAACTTATAAACAGTCTGTTTAGACATGAATATGTTAATATACATTTTCACAACGTGTAGATGAGAGTCAAGATTTTTCTGTTTATCATGAGATCTGTTTCAGTATTAGCCCCCTTCTGTAGACTCCAGGCCCCCATTTAATTTTTTTACAGAATATATTTACATAGGCATCACACTCAATCATGAATTTAGTATAAAATGTTGAAGTTGCTGTGCTGTTTGTCAACTCATTTGTGTCTTTTAATCGGAAGGTTGCTGAAGTGGTGCAATTCATCCTGATAAAGGACCAGAAGAAAATACCCATCCGCAGAGCAGGTTAGTGGAGCTCCTCTAATAAATACCTTTGGCAGAGCATTTTACACAGGGCACAGGACATAAAGTATAAATAGGCATTGTATATAGTAGTATAGTAAAAATGAACATGATAACAGTTGGACAGGGAGAGTACTATTCAGAAGGGGATTACTTCTACATGGTTAAGTGGATGGTGTAATTTATTCTGGCATTTCTTAATTTTGGTCATGTGTAAATCTGCCACATAACTTGTTTTTACCAGACTGCACATCCCTTATGTCAGTAAAGATTCTGGCAACCTTTGTCTGCTATAAAACAAGTAGTAGAAATAATTCCAGGTTATAATAATCCCATGATATAAGTAAAAGCTGTAAAAGTAACCCCAGGTTGTGGTAATTCCATGCTATAATCATTTACTGTAAAATTAACTGTAGCAATAACCACAGGCTATATTAATCCTGTACTATAAAAAAAACTTTAGGAAAAGCCCCAGGTTATATTAAGCCCATGCTATAAGACAAGCTGTAGAGAGAACCCCAGGTCATGTTAATCCTATGCAATGAAATGAGCTGTAGAAATAACCCCAGGTTACATTAGATAAGATGTAAGATGAGCTATAGAGATAACATCAGGTTATATTCATTTCATGCTATGAAATGAACAGTAGTAATAGTGCAAGGATATATTAATCCCATGCTATAAAATGAACTGTAGTTTGGTGTGGTTACCCCACCTCCCCATCCTGTCTGAGTAGTATTTTAAAGTGTGGTGCATTTTGGTTGTGTGAATTCCCCAGAAAAAGTGGAGTGTGCAATAGAGATCTACACATTTGCACATTCAAGACTTATAGTATTAAATATTTGTTTATATTCTAAACATAGTTTGATATGTAAGCAGAATACAAGTAGTAGTGTATTCTTAACTGACTCATGTTCCAAGGAAAGGTCTCATTTCATAACATTTGGTATTGGTAAGGCTAGCTTAGGGGTCTGCAACCTCGTATGTTAAGAAGAGGCATTTTGTCAAGTTTAAACAAAAATCTAACCACCTTGGGAGCCACAACATTTCATGTCTATTTTATTGAACTAACGTTCCACCATCTTGGCTGTAAATATGTCACAGTTGGTGCTAATATACTTGTATCGGCTAAAAAATACAATAGAAACAAAAATCCAGGCTTTGCTCTGTTTTAAGTTTTAGCTCAGCTATAGCTGCTTTTCTCGCATCTGTGGCAGGAAACTTTTCCATAAAAATAGAATGGTTTATTGTAAAATGTCTCTTAACATTCAACTTTTTATTAGGTTGAAGTCAGCTTCTCATTCGCCAGAGTGATTATAAATGCAAATAAGTGCATTCGTCTCCAAATTACCGATGTTCGTCTTAAACCTTTCTCTTTGCCTTTTCGTTAGCTACTAGCTAGGCAAGACTGTTATCTGTGTTGCTGTGGTGACCAGCAGTCTGCACGCCAGCCTTCAGGGCTAAAGGGTGAATTAGCAGTTTTACATAAACACCAGTGTTTGACAATTTATTGTTAAAACTGTTAGAACAATCAGCAGAGCTTTATTTTACTGCAAAGGAGGATTATTTTATTTTTACCTAAAAACCTAATTTTGCTGTGGAGCTGCAACAGGACAGTAAAAGGGCCGCATGCGGCTCCAGAGCCACATGTTGCTGACCCCTGGGCTAGATAGAAATATTTGGAACAAAGACTAAAAGATCACTGCTCTTACTGTGTTTCATAAAATATGTCTGTAATGAACATACTTCAACACTTGTAATTGTTTGTCCCCCTCCGGCAGATATTGCCAAACATGTAATAAAGGAGTACAAAGCCTTATACCAAGACATTATGAAGAGAGCTGACCGCACATTTGAGCAGGTATGCTTCGTCCGTTATTCTGTTTTGGTACCGCAGGTGGTAATTTTATCTTGTGGTGACATAATGATGTCCCCCTCCCCAAACAGGTTTTTGGACTAAAGCTTGTAGAGATAGACTCCAAGAATCATATTTACATCTTAGTCAACAAGCTGCAGCCTGTGCCTGGGGAGCCAATCAGCATGTAAGTAGCAGTGACAACACTGATTTGAGTTTAGTAAATGTTGCTTAAAAAAAAAAAAGCGATGTATAACTGTATCCTATGCGCTGTTTGTCAGGTGTCCTGGAAACCCGAAGACAGGACTGCTGTTTGTCATTCTCAGTATTATTTTCATGAAGGGAGGAACCGTCAAAGAAAGTGAGTTTTAGTATTTGCATTCTTGAATTCTACATTATTAATATTCTTTTATATCACATGTTTCATCGTGAATATGCTTGAAATCTAATGTTAATGTCCATCAAAGTTAATAGCACTTCTTCCTTCTCAGAGATGTGAGGTTTTGTTTCTATAGCGACTATATGTAATACAGTAAATCTGAAAGATATAATAACTATGAATTATGTCAAACTAGAAATCAACACAAGCATTTAACCATCTTGATGTCTGTTGCTAGATGTGGTGTGGAACACCCTGAAGAAGCTGAGAGTGGACGTTGGGTGAGATACCTATTAAAAATAATATTGAAACATTTTGATTAGTTTCTATAAAACTGTGTCTGACAGCTGTATATAAATTCTCCACACAGGGAGAAGCATGAGGACTTTGGTGATGTGAAGAAAGTGATCATCGATGAGTTTGTGCGACAAAAGTAAGTACATTAACAATGACTAACTTATTTATTTCTTTTATTATTATTTATTTATTTATGTTTGTTCAGCAACGTGGAGTAAATTGAGTACTAATACATCTACAGTTCTACATGATGTGACTTTTAGCAAATTCTTTTGACCAATGACAATTGCAGATTTGAAAAAGTCTGATCACTCTTATTTGTGCTTTGTTATGCGGACCTTTTCAGTTGTTGTATTGATGAAAAGGTCAAATGAATGTGGCATCATCACACCTCACTGCCATTATCTCTCTGTTATTACTCTGTCCTTTTTGGGCACAGTATCCCTCCATTTCCACCTTTCTCACCTTTTCCAGGCCTGTTATTCAGGTAGCTCAGGAGGTTACAGCAGTTGAGGGAAACCCAAAAGGTTGTAGGTTCAAATCCCAGTTGAGGCTGTTGGTGTGTTCAGAGCTGGTGTCCCTCAGACCATGGACAGCTGGTTTATACCACACCAAAGAGTACAGTGGAGCACTGAAGAGAGTTAGATTTACAAAGACAATCAGTCTAAGCTTCAAATGGCTCCAAACAAACTCCGGCATTGTGAAAACAAAACAAAGTCATTCTTTTATTAATAATGAGTCAGCATTAAACTACAGTCTTGGTCTAAACACACTGTATATGTGTTAGTTTGTATTTATTTTAAAAAGAAAAAAAGTATGCTGACTTTTCTTGATTTAAAAGCATACATAGGTTCCATGTGAGTAAACTATACTACATCAACTCGGTTCCTTCTAGAAGAAAAGAAAAGAATGTGTTGTTAATGTAATATATTTTATTTATCTATTAAGTAAAGTTAGTGAACTTTTTTGTGAGATAAATAGTTGTAAACCGTTTTTATGACCCCGTTAAAACTAGATTTTCTTCCTTCTTTAAGACAAACAAGCAGTTAAATATCCTGATTAATTACTTGTTTGTCTTAAAGTAAGCTACTGCTCAAACATTCTTGTAAGTTTCTTGTAAGTGATATCCAACATCTTATTGTCTGCAAAAACAAAAAAACAGAAAAACAGTATAAAAACAGTGAAATAAAAAAAAAAACTGTATAAAAACAGTGAAATAACTCTGATTTGAGGTAGCCTAGTAAATTTTGTATTTGCTGTGTTTTTTTTTTGTTAGATACCTGGAGTACGTGCGAATCCCCCACACTGATCCGCTGGAGTTTGAGTTTCGCTGGGGCCAGAGGGCTGAGAAGGAGGTGTCCAAGATGAAAATGCTCGAATTCATCGGGGAGGTCAGTTGATCCATTTTACCATTTTCCACCTGTGTAACATAGCATGTTTACTGTCTTTGAAGATAATAGCACAATGTGAAAAAGTCTTTTAATCACTTTACTGACTTTAATCCAGCGTTTGATAGTCCTGCACAGTTTGAACTGTGCACCTCGCACTGCAGCAGATTAGCGTCGGGAATCAATGGTTTGTATAGCATTGTATAGTGAAACATTTCCCCATGTGGCAAACTGGGGTTTGATTCCTCGCCCAGGCAAGCACACCATGCTATGCTAATAAGAGTCCTTGGGCAAGACTCCTGACTCTACATCTCTGTAACATGATTAAACTGTAAGTTACTCTGGATAAGATTTTCTGCCAAGTATCCTAAATGTAAATGTATTGTCTGCAAACCTGATCCAGGATTCATGAGCAGGATTAATAAACACTGCTTTAATTAAAGCAAAACCAACTACACAGGAGTGGCAGTATGGAAAATATATATCATCATCTTACTTCAAGACATCTTCATGATTCATGGTGTTTTATTATTTTATTGTATATTTTGTTTTTAAAAAATTGTCGATGTCTAATTTAAGCCGTATCCAAAATAATTTACCTTTCACAATACATAAATCATAGAAGCAGGTATTGGCTCATGTCAGTCTTCCGGGTTTGTAGTTATTAGCTTTTAGGCTAGCAAAGTAGACATAAAGTTGCAAGGTAGTTATATCTCCACCTAACCAGTACATACAACCAGTGTGTTGTGTTTAAGTATTGAAGAAGGTGAACTTGGCATAATGAGAATGGTCTTTTCAGTGCAGTGTAAGTTTTAGTGGTTTAGCTACAGCTAAACACAAAGTTTTTTCATTCACCCCATAGGGAGTGTTGGCCACTTCTGCACCAGAATGGCGAGCATGTAACACGTTCACTGTGAAGGCAGCATTAGAAAGAGTTTAAATGTTTTTTAAATGCCGGGTGTACAGCTTAGCGGCATTTGATTGACAAATAATTATCAACTTTATTTATATAGACCCTTTTGTACTTTTATAATGCAGCTGAAAGTGCTTTACAGTGGCTACGTTTGCATGCAAGGCTTTTGCCAATCCGATTAAATACCTTCCGATTATAGATTAAGACTGAGGTGTTTATATGCTCACTCTGCTCAACAGTCTGATGGAAATCTTCGTTTATATGCAGACTACAAGCAATCCGATCCAAAATTATGCGCGTGCATAGAGAACCACTTGGTGTAGACATTACCATGACAACGAGCATCATGTCAGCCAATCAGAGTGCGATGAGCAGCAGTAAGCATCGCTTGTGTGTTTGATTACTTTTAGGTTCTGCACATGTACTTATTAAAGAAGACGTCATGTTCTGAGACTCATAAGCTGGATGCCCGTCCCACCGCCGTCTTTTAAAGTTCAAAGCATAAACTTGGTCTCCTCGCTATGACGTGACGCAAATGTGCAGAACGTACTTACATTTTCTGATTGGGAATGTAATCAGATACAAGCGTTTACATGGTTATTATTCGATTTACGGATTATTTACAGGATTACCAGCCTCATTCAATCGGATAGGAATTGTATTCCGAATGGTCTCATTCGGACTAGTCTATTCCGATTAGTATACAAGGACGTATTCTATTCCGATTGAGCTATTAGTCAGATTATTAACGAATTCTCAGGCTGCTTGTAAATGTGGCTAGTTTGAACTAAAACAACAGAAAAAGAAAAGAAACAAGAGGTAATCAAGTGAAATCTTCAAACAAGATAAAACAAATAAAAGCAGTGACAAAATAACAACAATTAAGTCCAGTTATTAAAACAACTTGAAAAAGAATGTTAACGTCAGAAAAAATAAAGGTGATTTAAAGGCTAAAATGGAAAAAAGATGTTTTTTTTTTGTTTTTTTTTTAAATTCATGACAAAGTTTAATACATTAAATGTGGAGAGAGCAAGCACTGGATGATCTTAAGGCATGATATGGAACATGGCTTGACAAACTATCATAGATATATGAAGGTGCTGCATCATTAAGAGATTTAAAAACTACTGATTAAATTTTATAGTCAATTCTAAAGGAAACAGGCAGCCAATGGAGTGATGCTAAAACTGGTCTAAAAGGATCTCGTTTTTAGCGCTTGTTAATATTTTTACTTTTGCATTTTGAGTTGTAGTTTATTTGTTGTGGTTGTAGGAAATCCTGTGAAAAATGCATTGCAATAATCAAGCAGGTACAAAAAAGACCAATGTGTCAATAAACATTTAGAAACTGATGTGTTATAATAGTAAATACATAAAACAGCTACGCCACACTGGGGGGTCTGTTTTTAATTAATTTTAGTGTTATGGAAGTACTCACAATATCATGAAAAACATGATATTCATGTGATCATCGTATCCCACATCCCTATGTAGAGACATATGAGGATTTTATGTTTGGTGCATGCGTCTTTTCTGAACAGTACTTAAGTACTGCAATTAGTGTCCAGACTTGGAAAAATAAGTATTGAAGAATGTCTTTTATATCTTTTATATGCTTTATATGTGTTTCATATGTGTTTTTTCTGTTCTATTCCCAGCTACACAACCAAGAGCCTCAGTCCTGGACTCAGCAATACAGGGAGGCCACTTCTGCAGAAAGCAGCCAGAGATAACAGAACAGAACAAGAGACTCAGGGCGGAGGCGTGTGTGTGTCTGTCTGTATAAGAATGATACTATTGGGATATACAAACCACTTTAAAGCTGTTCAACTCTGATTTTGTCAAGTAGAATAACTACTTATTGAGCAAAATCTGGTTCAGAAAGTTAGTCAATTTTTCAGGTTTAAGTTTTTTTATATACCATTTGAAAACACCAGTTTTCTTTACATCGTGTGAACAATTCATGACTAATGAACCAACAGAAATTGTGCTTGTTAAATGCACTTACTTTGAAGCTGAGACCAGGTTTCCTTGTCCTGTAAAAGTACCATTTAGGAGGTAACTGGTTTTGTTCTGACAGCCATGTTAGTGTGTAAAATGCTTAAACGTTCTTGTGTTATTTTTCTTTTGTGCTGCAATAGAATTAATGTGATATTAATGTCATAAAATTATAAGCAAAACCTCTTAGCTACAGATGCCAGGGGGACAAAAAGAAGTTAAAAAAATTAAAGTTCACATATTTTGAGGTTACTTTTTTATACCAGCAGTTTCCACGGTAATGAAAGATCCTGTATTTTATTAACTTATTCAACAAAAATAAAGCTATCTTCTCTTTGTAGTATTGTGTTTATGATGTTTCATTTCATTTTGCATTTGTGTATAACTTGGATTTTAGATACTCAGAAAACCAGAAGCCCATTTCTCTTATGTTTTTCCCTGAACATTTTCCAGCCTCTCTTTAGCTTATTAATCTGATCAGTCAGGCTTTTTAACAAGCTTTTAAGACTGACAATTGTTGATTTACCTTTATTCTGCCTTATATTGTTCTTGATTAAAAAAACAAGCTGGGCTGAAACATGTCTTATAATTTCAAGGTTAATGGGTAGGGGTAAACAGCTTTAGGCTGAGGCAGCAGATATATGTAAATGTTTTTTGTGACCTCATAAATAATTGAAAACTGGCTACATTGCAGCTTAACTGCCATATATCGACTGGAGAGTGAATGGTACGTATTGAAACTTACATAAAATGTTTTTTAAAATATGGGCCCTTTAAAGATCTAAGTGATTTTGGGGAGTAGAGAGAAAAAGTTTCAGAAAATGTATCGTTTTTACTCTAAAAATGTCCAACAGGTGCAATTATTTATGCTGCACATGTACAGAAATATATCAGTACAAAATAGTGACAGATTAAACATAGAATGTGTACAGTACCTTGTGTAAAAGTCCTTGCTCCTAAAAGCTTTTCATAGCTTTTGTATAAGTATTATTGGTATTATTATTATGATTTTATTATTATTATTAGTAGTAGTATTACAGTAGATTATTCCAGCATCTACTGAGTTTGCTTTTTATGTAATATTTGTTGTATGACCGCCTTCTTGTGGCCAGAGACTGTACTACACTCTTTGCTGTTTGCTGAGTCTGACCTTTATTTTCAGCTTCATTCATCTAAAATGTGAACCTGCTCAGTTTTACTGACTAGTAAATGAATTACGAATGAATTATGAAAAACTATACTGCTACCATCATAAGATGTGTGGTGTTATACAGGGGTGGAGTGAGACACTTCACTGTACTGTCCTGTACTTAAGAACCATTTAGCATATTTATACTTTAATTAAATATTTCTAGTTTTGTAAACTTTTCATTTTCATTTCTTTGCATGTTGCTTAGGGCCTCCAGTCAGCACTCCTGATGAATGTTGCCCCTGTAGTGAAATTGTATTGATGTAGAAATGTAGTAGGTGTGTAATGTTTACGGATAGACTGTTGCTTTATTTATTTATTAAATAACTATATTTCAGTCCATCTGCAAAACCTAGGGCTGAAATAGATAATCAGTAATGGAAAATTGGACATAAAGATGGAGTATGGCCTTTTGACACGCCCACATATCTCTATGCTTACATTTTATGATACACACTATCTAGCTATCCACTTCTGTTGTTAACATGACCACATTTGATTTTGTAACAGCCCGTTCACCTTCCTGAACTTTTACTTACGTTACTTTTACTTCTGCTAAACTGATTATCAAAGTTGGTAGAGGACCTTAAAGTCACACTAAAGTAAAAATAGTATTGTCAGTCAGTCAATCAACCAATCAAAGCTGTATTTATATGGCACCTTTCCGACAAGCAGTTGGGATTCAAAGTGCTTTACAGATTAACCTACAGACAAAGGCCCAGAAAACAGAACGAAAGTAACAAGAAGATAAAACAAATCTATAATCAGGTAAAGGTGAAAAAGAGAACACATCAATTAAAAACAAATAATTAAGGCAATAAAACTACAAAATAAAAATGAATAAAAAGTAGAATATTAGGCTAATTATTTTATAGAGTATTTATTCTAAAATATCTAAACATTGTTAAAAATAGGAATAAAAACAAAATAATACTGGAATAAGACGAAAGGATTGCGAAGTACAAGCACTGTTAAAAAAGTCTTAAATTTAAGTTTTATTATTACAATGAAGTAATACAGAAGTATATTTGATATACGCCTGTCTTATCATATTTGTATGTTCGCATTCAAATTGAATGAATTTCTTTTTAATAAACATTTCGACGCTACGTCACGTAGGTTAGACACGCCGATTGGTTACTAAGAAACAGCTCCAGATTTAGGGGTTCAATGTTTTTTAGCAAACAGCTAGCGCTAACTAGCTAGCGTTAGCTAGCTAACGACTGCGTGCACTGATTTTTCTGGCGTTATAAGCTCAGACAAGACGAAATTTAAAGACTGTTCTGTCTAAATAATCTAAAAGATAGCCTAAATATATGATTCCTGAAACAGTGAGAACATGCAAAGTGACCCCAAACATCTGTCCAGCCATCCCCGCTTGCCGAGCTCCCTGGACGGCGGCGGCAGGGCCTTCGGGCCGCTGAGATTTGGACCGCGGCCGCTGAGGAAGTTTAGTAAACAAGAGAACCCAGATTAAATACGGCAAGTCTAACAGACACGAAAACGTCGAAAATGATCCCATAGTTGTAATTCATTACTTCCTTCCTACTTTTAAAGTGTAAACATTAAAGGTATGCACTTTTTATATTGAATACACCTTTAAAAAGTACACTTAAGTAGTTACATTTTTCTTTTACAAGGGAGGACGTTATTAAAGTTTTGATATATTATAGAATGGTGGATTTACTAGTTCTAGAAATCCACAGCACAGTGCTCAGTTGTGCTGCTCCCCGACAGCTGGTTACACTTATGAAGACTTGATAATTAGCTGACAAGTTGAATGATTCAGAACCAGAACGCTAAAAACTAATTTGTGCGGTTTACTGGCTCTCCAGGATCTGTGTGAACCCTGGGTCTAAGCGTTCTGCGCTGATTTGTAGGCAGGAGTTTAAGCTAGCAGGAGCTGGCTGTTTATGCATGGAGCTGGACGTGGCCCAGCAGAGACTCTTCTGCTTCACTGACCACAGCCTGCTCGCTGGTGACCAAGCTGAACATCACACAGGACAGTATGGTCCTGGCCTCAGTCTTCAGCCTCTACGCCATGATGTTCCGCACAGCGGCAGTGGACCACAAGAGTGAGCTCAGCCCACCACACAAAGCCAACACAAAGAAACAAAGATGAAGTTCTGCTGCTTAATGTTTCATCAGCTCAATTTGTCTTATCATCAGTGCAAAACAACTTCCATCATTATGTACAGTAGAGTACAAAAGGCCAGCCAAGAAAACTGGAAAGCTGATTATCTGGGTGAAGTCCTTTGCTTGTAAAAGCACTATATAATATTACAAAAAATATAAATAAATGTGATTTTTTTAAAAGTGTTTTCAGTAAAAAAATACTGCTATATTGTGAGCTGATCAGAAGAGGAAAGTTTTGATTTCTCCTCAAAGCAGAAAGAGATTTGTCAATTTCACCACCCATGATTCAGCTGAAAGGAACCAGACATCTGAAGCATTTAATGCCTCTAAGAGTTGTGCACCCTTGGTGTATATACAAAACAGATGAGCACAGCTGGGTCTCTCTCAGCATCACATGTACAGAACGTGTGTCGGGCTTAGGTTTGACTGAGGAGAACTTGCTCTACTTGTGGTCTGCACGTAGTGTGCATCTCTACCACCTGAACCACTTCCTAGACTTCTGGGGTCACCTGCATTATCTAGCTGTGGCCTTTAGTCTCTGCAGAGCTCTGGGCAAGACCACCTAGCTGCTTACTCTCAGGGAGGGCAACAGGTCTCTGCTTCAATACTATTAGTGCTGCATCACTCGTGCACTTATATGCTATATTCAAGACCACTTAATTCTAATTCTTTAACCCTTCAATCATTGCTGTCACATCAAAACCTCTTACTTCTATGTTTTTATTACAGCATTTGAAAAACCCAGTGTTTCCATTTAAATTACATGAACATTGTTTAGAAAATCTCTAATACAAATAACCATTTTTGCTTTATTTATGTTTACTTGTATTTATTCTAATGTCACATAGTTTCTAGTGGCAAAACACACTAACTGTCCAGATAAATGGTTTTAAAAATTTGCTTTTGCACAGCACTGTATATTACTTCAATAAAATTTAGTTACATTCATTCGTCCTATGAACATCATTTAAAAAAAATAATTCTTATGACAGTAATAAAATAACTATTTATTTTTTATTATTGTCAGTCATTTTTTATGGCTTTACAATATCATGGAAGTTTGTAGACTGGATGTATATAAGACTATTTGTAGAAATGCTCATTCATTTATTGGTTTTACTGGGGGAGTTCTCTACTCTCTTACTATTGTACTCTGCTTTGAGTGGAGTGAGTCTTCTCTCTGTCCAGAGTCTGCACGTATTCTTCTGTGTGGATGGGAAGAAGTTGTGTATGTTGCCTCCTCTCCTCTCTAAGGGAGCTGCCTGACTGTTTACGATCGCACCAGCGGCCTCATCATCCTCCTCCTCAGTGCCAGTGAGATATGGGTCTACATTGCCAGGTCAGTCAGATTAGTATCTGCCAGCTCGGATGCTGATGCTTAGTATCAAGATAGCTTAAATACAGTGTTCTTGTTTAATCAGGTTTTCCCGAATCCAATCCTTGGAGAATCCCCGATAGTCCACATTTTTGTGTCCTCCATCATCTTCACCATTTTTACATATATATAACCTGTCCCATATTTAGGGGTATTTTAAACCCGTATAGCATATCAAACAGGAAGGAGTGTAATTAGAGATGTGACAATTTACAAAATTCTTAATGCAGTTCATTACAATATGGTGTTGTCTCAATTTAATGCATATTTCCACAAAGCAAAGAGTGCCAGAAAGAGTGCCTGAAAATCTGTCTTATGTTAATATAGAATAGGCTCCAGCAACCCCGCAACTCAGGAGGATAAGCGGCTTAGACCGTGTGTGCGTGTGTGTGTGTGTAAATGGAGGAGAACATTTTAGAGTTTGCAACCAATCATTCATAGTTATGGCAAACCAACCCGACGTGTATTTTTTGGTGTTCTTTGGAGAACATTGGGTCAGTGGGCTCGACACATAAGATAACCAGGCCATTTCATGAGATAATCAGATAACAGAACAGGATATAAAGAGAAGAACCAAAACCTCCAAAGCTCATTCTAATCATTTATATATCTATTAATAATCTTTTAAATCTAATTATTT